TCCTATAAGGTTGTAATTTTTAGAAAACGTCAAGTAATCAAAGATATATCTGTGGTATAAGAATGAAGCTCAACGACAATTGTAAAGAGAAGAAAAACATCAAAATAAGATGTTTAGTTTATTTTGACCAGGGGGATATATTATGACACAGTACCCATAGTTCTTAGTGAACTACCTCGGAATGGAACTCATCCTGCTAATGCTTCAAACTATTGCAAATTGCTAACCAGGAGTCGGAATAAATAAAAAAGTTTCATACGAAATACTTTTCAAAAAAAAATTGATTATAAGGAAACGTTTTTGCGTCTTATTAGAAGTACCAATCAAACAATAAAAAATGCTTAGTCTTATCAAGGTACTATAATTGATAAAAACAAAGTTATATTGTTGTAAATATGCGACTGGCACCTCTCATAAATATAGTTAGAAATATAATAAGTCTTTAAAAATACGAGGATCTAATGTAATATAACCTTTAAACGTTTCGCAGATGGTTCTAATTTTTCTTAGTTTTGTTTTGTAACAATGTTTTTAATGAACAACACTTTATTCTTCTCATATTACACATTATTTAGAAAGAACATAAAAAATCAAAAGAGTAAAAATGATTCGATGACATTAGAATAATTCCGAAAAACAGATCAGAATCACTACGAAGATTGTCTTAATCAGGTCAATTCATGTGATATATATTTTAATGTTGAGTACTCTTTGTAAAAACTAATCAAAACTAAACAATAAATGGATTAAAGTCGCTGAAAAACAACTATATTGATATTATTATCATCTAATTCAAATAAACAGATGATTAAAGTGAATATTTCTCTATTACGAAAAAAGAAATAATAATAAAGAAATTTCTTTGAGATATATATACGTATAATAATGAACTCAAAGATCGAAATACAATTATTTGTACTTATACTGAGTTGATCACAGTAAATTTAACAAATTAGTTATTCTATGGTCACATTCGCCATGTGGAGAAAATAGACGTCTGCAATAAAACAGACAAAAGCTAAATAATGGAATGAGGAACGAGGAAATATGTTCTGCTTGAGTATTCTTTTCTAGAACTCATACATTTTGTATGATGATCACGATGAAGAAGACAATTGATTGTTTACATGAGATTTATTGCGATTTCTTATTTTATAGTTGTCCTATCAAGTATTGAAATAAATATTCCATTCAGATAGATATATTCAGTAAAAAAAAGTGAAGCTCATTTTATGGTTTGAGGTTGTACACAATCAGTCTATGCATAAAATCAAAATTAATTCAATAATCAATAAAACCTGATTTTTTTACGCCATTGTTATTTGCAATTGAAGTGTGTCGTAAGCTTGATACGTCATTTCTCTAGAAAATAAAATTCCAAGGAGATTAATAATGTCGTCGTATTGTAAAAGAAGTGGAAATATTGTCTAAACAAAGCTGAAGAATTTTATTCGAGGGTAAAATATATAATTTACTAAGAAGTTCATTTATATTTTTGTATGTTTTTTTGAGAAATCATACAATTATTAAAGAATAGTAAACTGATTCTCTCTTCATTTCTCATAGTAAATATTGTTACTTTGAATTGCCATTGATCGAACAATTGTCTTTGTCAGCTTATTGATCTCATTTGTTAAATATACATTTTATTTCTGAGACAATCAAGTACAAATATATTCTCTTACTACATTGTTCTATTGTCAGAGACTTGTTTATGTAACCGAAAAACACTACACTCAATTGACGTTGTCGCAAGATATTCTAAATTTAGATATTAATAGGAGCGCAATCTGAATGATAATAAAGATAACCATCGCAAAAAAAAGACAACAGAATATTGAATGTTTTTCTTTGATTATATAAGTACATTAATCTAGATATATAGTATTTTTAAAGCTAACAAGGAAAACTCTTTATGTTCGTCTAATACTCCATGTGTACAATATATAAACCAGAAACAAGCAAAGAAAAAAGCATACTAAAGAGCAAACAACATTTGCCAGTGTTGACACTTCTTGATTTCATTTAGGTAACTTAACATCAACACTTGATGAAAGCAACAATAAATCTTTATGAGATTACTTTAAAAAAAAAGACCAAACATCTTTACTCAATACCCTTCAAACTGATACTTGATTGATTTGTCCTAACTGAACTTTTCCATATCCGACCCTTACATAATTTGGTTTTTATTTACCAACTAATTATAAGAAGCGAAATGAGTAACAAAGATAGTTTATTGTTTTTTCTATATGTTGACAGAATGAGTGACATATGTATAGTGGTAGACATAAGTTTAGAATAGCTGTATTTTTTTAGTTTTCCTCCGGGCGGTGACAGTTGAGGAAAATTTGAAAAAACATTTGAATAGCTGAAAAGATTGTCTATCAGGATTGACGAATCTAAAAACTTAAATAAAACTTCTCGGATGATGGTGCCTGAAGAACCAAGATCTCAAAAAATAGGTCTTCGGTATCTATTTAAAGCTTTTTGAAATAGTTCTATTTGACAGAATAAAATGAAATGTCTCCGCTGTTTTCATGACCTTCCTTAATTGAAACTTTTCATAAAAACATAAGATAAAGGCTTTTTAGGTCTTCTGTAAAATAAATACAGTGCGATAAAGGAACGTCATGGATAGAGCGAAAACATCTCATTTTATTCTATCAAATACAACCATTTCTAAATACCATTAAATAGATGCTAGAAAACTTATTATGCAAATCGTGGTTTTCTAGACATACTTATCCAAACACTTTTATTAGAGTTTTTAGATAAGAAAAACCCTGATAGAGAATTTTTCAGCTACTCAAATGCTTTTTTAAGATTTTTCCTAGCTATGATCATCGCGAAGAACACTCAAAAATACAACTGTTCCTAAATTCCTGCCCGTCATTATAAGTAACAAAGAAAGCAGATAAATTACCAGTGCAAAACGATAGACTTTATTTTTTTACTAGAGAATTTTTAATCGTATGAACGAATTTTGATGATCAGTTATCCTTTGTTTAGATCGATGTTTTGCGTTATAAAATAGCTTGCGACTTTCAATTATTATCCTCATTGAAAGATGAATCAGGGTTCAATTTAGAATCGACTAAATAAACATGTGTTCAATTCAGAAACAAATAAAATAAGAAAATCTATTTTAATTGTCAATCACGTACGAGTTGAATGTACACTAGACATGTGCGAGACGAAGTTTCTTTTATCCCACTTCCGATTGTTGTCCTAGTGAATCTCGTATGTTTCGGTCGTGGCCATCAGAACTGAAATTAATCCTGTACATATATGTCTAATATAGACTCGTCGATATCTATTGCTTTCTAACTTACGAAAAAATATGTGATAAATATTCTGCAATCCATATTATAGTCTGAATGTAAAGACAAATTTTATTTATGACGAACAAAGTTACACAAATAGTAGAAAAGAAAAAGAATCATAAAAGCAACAAACAAAAAAACGATATCTTAAAAGTTGATATTGTTACGAATGACTTAGTATTCTTTGAAATTGTCAAATTTATCTTTCAGATCTATTTCTATAAATCGATGATAGGTAAAAGATCAGATGACAAGTCAGCAATATACTATTACTTTAAACTTGCATCGTCATGAGGAAAACTTATCATCAATGTATTGATATACATAAGAAAGATAAATTTCAATTTAGAAAAATTCTAAGACAAAAAGAAAAAGCTTTTAGAAGTTAAGACGACCGGCATTATTAAACTCAGTATTTGTAGCAAATGTTTGTAACATTTGTATGAATTCATTAGCTGATGGTAAACGACCAGTTTCAAGTTTTGACCATAATGGTACATCATTAATAGATATTTCAAATGCACCCGTTGAAATTAAATATGATTCTATTGAATTTGAAAAGAAAAATACCATTAAACATGCATACATTTTGTTTTGTAATGCCCATGAATAAGCTGCTGGTGTTGGAATATTAAGAAGAGTAAAAGGATTTTGACCAAAAAGAAGACAAACAAGTAATGCCATTTTAACCACAGATAAAATACGAGCAAGTAAAGCTTTGATAGGTGGTGGTGGATAATTTTCACCAACAACTTCCATATTTGGGTAATGTGTTCGAACAAGTTGTGCAAATTGTTCAAACACATTTCGGTACCTAAGAAAAAAAAACAAAGTTTTTGTTTTTTGGATGAGATTAAATTATAAATGAAAAATAAAAAAAATATTATTTACCCTCAGCTATGGCAAAAAAGAAATTTTATTGTTGGTATTGTTTGCTTTTTCATTTTAGGTGGTGGAATAGTTGAAGATTCTTCATATACTGGTTTAGAATGACTATTATATGATGTTGAAGTAGATTCACTAGTATTTGTTTCAGTTGATGTTGAACTTAAATATGATCGTGTTAGATCATAACACGTTGATAAAAGAACAAGACTCAGACCGAATAGTAGCTTTCGGTCGATCATGTTCAAATACGTAAAGAAAAATGATACCCGGTGATCTTTTTTAATATAATAAATAAATGACAAAAAAAAACATGTAAAATATGAACCAATCATTTGTTAATAAGATTACGTAAAATATGTATGTTAACAAACGACATCTGCAGGATCATTAGCAAAGGCATTACAATGCTTTTGTGTGTTTTCATTTATTTTGAAAATAGAGATTTACAGATATTTTGAAATAGGTTTACAAAAAAATTGACTCTATCAATCTGAAGGATTAGCAATAATAGAATTTACGAATTCGATTATCTAGATCCAAAGTGAAATTTACTTGAACATACTTCGGTATGTGACAAAGGATTTATAGATGAAGAAATTCTTTATATTTCAGAATTTTTCTGATATCTTGTTGCTATTAAAAAATTGATCGCTGAATGATGACAATATATTTTGGCTTTTCATGTAATATTTTTTTATTGTTTATTGCTTCCACAATCATAATGCTTTTTTCGATTATATTATCTTTACTTGACAATGAAATGAATACTTACCTGTCAGAATTTATTCAGTTATGAATCATTACTATTGTATATTTTTTCAAAGAATATCATGAATTTAAAATGCAATAAATTCATGTCATTTTTATTGATATTTTTTTTTGACAATTTATTTTTTAAATAGATGTTTTAAAGGATCGAAAAGAATGTCATTTTTCTTTTATTCGACTTAACTTTATAATAAGCAAGTAAATGCAATCGATTAAGTGCATAAATAAAAGCTCATGTATACATGTATATTTACTTAGATATTTTCGTAATGGCCTTTGTGTATTAATGGTTTTTTAACATATATTGTTCATATAGAATAACATACTTTGATTATGTCAATAGGAACAAATATTATTTCATTTTTTACCCCCTTCTTTCTTTTTTGTATGAAAGAATTTAAAAGTTTATTAACAACTTCTTTGATTTCTTTTTTCAACCTCATTTATTAAAGAACGCAAAAAATATACTTTTATGAAACCAACGAGAAAAAAAAGGCGACATACACTAATTATTGTTGAATGTGCTTGGCACCTACTTGATTTCTTTTTTCTTATGTTTTTTACTAGAGCTTCGAACATCTTCAGTTTTTAATAGAATGACAGAAATAGGTATACGATTTTCAATTACTAATTCACCACTGCAAGTCACAACAAAGACAACTATGATGCAGAGACGAAGAAGAAGAAGCCCAACAATAGCAACCTATGCCAATTTATTCAATCATCGTCAACGAAACCATCAAATGCAATACAGTGCTGTGTTACCGATCACTTCTCTCACACCCGTCTCTAATTTCAAAGAAAAATTCATTTGCATGGCAGCATCTAAAAAATCAACAAAACAAACGACAACATCATCTACGATACCTACTGAATTTCGTCTTAAACTTCCACTATCTGATATGTCACAAACTAAACCACGCGTAATGTCATCACATCGTACAATGATTTCAAATATACCAAAATCATCTCTTAGTTATCCAACAACAATTCCACATCCAACAGCACCATATCGTTTGAATTATTATCATCATCAACAACAACAAGGTGAACGATTATTATATGTTGTTAAGGCACCTGTAACACCTCGTCGAAGTGCTTCAGCTCGAATATCAAGTAATGGTTTTAATACATTACCACTTCATCAGCAACCACATTTATTAGCATCACCACTTTTACCACGTCCACATCCACATTATGGTCATTTTCTTGCATATCTTCGACGACAATCATTAGCACGTATACGTCGTAAACAAGAACAAGAAGCAGGAAACATAGATAATGTTGAATCAACAATAAAATTTCATTCAAGTAAACCAATAGTACAAACATTTCAATCAACATCACATGCATCTCTTAATATAGCAACACAAGAAATATTATCAATGCCAACAATGTCTCTAACATCAAAACGACGAACACGACCATTATCATCTTATCAACATGTTCGACGTCCATCATCACCAATACAAACAAATTATCGTTTAACTTTAAATCAATCACCGTCATTAAGACAACCACCACCACCATCATCACCAATACAACAAACAACAACAAAAACAACATCAAATGAACAATTACACATATCAACATCAGCCGTTATTACACCAACAAATTCAGTTGTTGATGATATAGCTAAATTATCAACAGTAAAAGCTCCATATGAATTGCAATTAAGTGGTGACATGCTTAATTATTGTTATGTTAGTGATAGTGGAGTTAAATATCAAGGACAATTACTTTCTACACCTGTTTAAAAAAGATTTTTTTTTTTAATGTTTGGTTATCGTAAAAGAAAACAAAAGAACTTTTATTTGAAAATTCTCGTAAATACAGACGGTTTCGAGGATGAACGTTTAGTATTTGGTGTTGTAACTGCAGGTAAATTGTTCGTTGTTGTTGTTGTTGGCATTGGTGAACCTACTTTCATTGGAGGTGAAAGTAATAAATTTGCTGTTGATGATGAATTCAATGAGACTTGTGAATCTGGTTTAATTAATTTTGTTGGTTTTTGTGTAAAATTGATTGGTATTGGAGGTGGCAAAGGAATATTTGATGATTTTTCTGTTTCATTTGATATTGTAAAGTGAACTGATGAACTTGATGATGATGATGATGATGGAGAAGGAAAATGAATAATTGAATGTATTGGCATTGTTGTTGTTGTTATTGTTGATGGTTCTTCATCAATTGAATTTGATGCAACAACACGTTCACGTTCTTTTCGTACTTCACGTACAGTTCGATGAAATAATTGTTGTACATATTCATAATCATCAGCTGCTGTTGTTTCACAAAAAGCACAACTAAATTTAGCAGCTGTAGCTTCACCTTCACATTTTGGAATTACTCTAAATAATATAAGATTTACTTTTTTCGTTTTTTTTTTGTCAATATGATTATGGATAATTATTTACCTTAGACGTTCTAAATCAAGTTTATTACCGAGTAACATAAGAACAAGTTCATTTGTTGATACAGTTAAACTTTTTGAATAACTTGTTATAGCATCTAAATAAGCCAGTGCCATATCAAAACTATCTTGTTGAGTTATACTATAAGTTATTAATACTGCATCTGCCCATTTTAAATAATATGGTAAACGTTTATCATCCTTGAGTTCCAAAAAGAAAGAATTCAAATCTTTTATTTATAATTTTTTTTTTTTACTTTTCCATAGGTATCCATGACCTTTACCAATACTTCTTGTTGATCAACTACATCTGGTTTCCAATAAGTATCTTCTATAATCAAAGAAAAATTCATTTCGTTGTATTTTATTATAAAAACACTAACAGAAATGAAAAAAAAAAAATACTAACCAAGAAAAGGATCATATTCACAAATGAAACGTTTGGTTAAATATTTGACAACTATTGCTGATTTACCAACATTTTGTTTACCAAGTAAAACAACATTAACTTCTTCTTTTGGTAGACTAGCAGTTGATTGATGAGTTTTAATCGAACTACTTATTGGTTTATATCTATTCATGCTGTTTCCTTTTTATACTAAAAAAAAAAAGTATATACATAGATATTCATCAACAGTTGATTCTGCAATTCTTTTTCTTTGATCATAATTTAGTGATAAAAATATCTATCTTCACCTTCTATATCAATGACATTATAGAAGAACAAAAGGGCAATAAAATATAGACTGGTACGCTTCTTTCCTAGTTCTTCCACTACAGTTAATATAGTAAAAGTCAGAATAGAGAGGGAGGAAAATAGTGCGCGCAAGATACAAAAAAATGTAGAGAAAAGGCGGTGTGTATGTATGCATAGCGGTAGTAGTACCATCTTCATAATGTGGATGCTTAGTATACATCGAAGAGAGAAGAAAAATCGATCATTAAGAACAGAAGAAAACGTATAGAACATTCTGTGATGTAGAATGCGCATCACGCGCAAGCCAGGACAAGTTTCAGCAGAACCTTGCTCAATCGGCATCATCCATTCGGCTGATGTTTTTCTAGTAAGTAAGTAAGTAAGTACATCTATATTTGGAATAAACTCACACGAATGAATCATTCCGGATATATACACATTACAATCATTATTCTTCATTTCGAGTACATTCCAGTGCAAAACTTTTAAGTAAATTCTTGTTTCCGAAAGAACGACAAGAGTTATATTAGAAATTTTTTTTTTTATCATAGATACTATGGACTCTGATCTATCTTATCATCATAATAGAAATGCCCTACCGTCTAATTTTATATGCCGTCTCCAGAGAACATGACCACGTGGATAAGGCTAATTGGTAGAATGAGTCATCTTGAAAGTAGTTCCATTTGAAAGAATACATTAGAATGCATCAAATAGCCTTTTCAAAATTTTGTTGGATTGAATTTCGGTACATAGAATATTAAAAAGCCTCAACGAGTCATATAGTTCGAACTATTGAAATCGATTATTTCTTCTCAAATGTTTAATTTGTGATATAGATAAAAGTCCATGTAGAAAAATCTTTCAATTCAAAATTTGTATTCGTTTAAACATATATGTGGAAAATATTTAATCCGCTTAATTTTTCATATCTTCATTTTTCAGTAAAGAAGCAACGAAAAGAACTGAAATTTCCACGATAAACTATTCTGATTATAATCTTTATCTTTCAAATTAAAATTCGATTTTTTTAAAATGTTTTTCAAGGAGATCATGGCTATGTTCAAAAATCAATCCATAGAAAGTCAATTAGAAACAAGAATCTTTTTGATGGTTGTCATAGTTCATTAGAAATTACATGAAGCACACAGTTCTCATTAAAAAGCAATTTGTCATCTAGGGAAAATTTTGTGTGAAAAAAAAACATTAGGCAAATCGAATAACTTTTAAAAAGATTTAATCAAAATGACTTATTCGATCATCTTGCCTTATCCACGTAGTCACGTTCTCTGAAGACGACGCATAATATTAGATGATAAAATATTTTTACTACCATGATACGATAGCTCAGGATCCATACTATCTATGATAAACAACTATCGTTGATAAATCTTATCGTTCTTTCGAGTATAAAAATTCACTAAAAAGTATTGCACTGCACAGCACTCCTAATGGAGTAGAATAATTATACTTGCCATATCTAGATCTCCAGAGTAACGTCTCCATTTAAGTTTATTCCTAACTTAAATGTATTCACCTATTATAAAAATATTAGTCAAGTCGATGATGTCGATTGAGCAGTGTTGGTCATGACTTAAATGAAATGCTCGATTGACAAAAAATAAAAAATATCTATTTATTTATTTATTTATTTATGGACAGTTTTTTGTAAAATCATATTCCCAACATTGATAACCATAGACTCTATTATCCATTCGATCAATATTTTTAAAATAATCATATTGAATCCATGCTGAACGACAATCACATTTGAATAAAACATTTGTTGGATTAATATCAATTAATGATGCTGGATTTGATTCAAGAAAAGGTTGAAAAACATTTTCATCTAAATATGTTATATTTGTATGATAAAAACGTATAAATACAAAACGATTTCGAAAACGACTTAATGATGTTAATTCAAAACTAGTTGAATTTAACATTTCACCACCAAGATATATTTCTAACATATTTGATATACCATTATTTAATATCGATCGATTTCGTTGAGCTAATGCATATTTATTTATTTTTGTTAAGTTAGGTGAAAATATACGTAAAAATTGTAAGTTTGGTAAATTATAAAAAGCATAATCACCAATTGTTGCAATTGGTTGACTTCTATTTGAATATTCAAGACCAAACCATATATGAGTTAAATGACTATGATTAAATGCATAATTTGGTATATATTTTAAACGATCATTATGCATACTAAGACGGCGTAAATATCGAAATTGTTGTATTATTGAAAATATAGTATCACTATCAGATAAATTTGTATTTAATGTTTGAAATATTTCAACATGATTTTTAAAATAAGAAAAAGCATTTTTATCAATTGTTGTTAATTGAAAATTATCTTGAAATATTAAACTTTTAAATGTTATATTAATAAAAACATTTTCAGGTAAATGTTTTATCGTTGTATTATATAAAAGAAAACTATCAAAATGCATTGCATTTTCATCATCACTAGATATTATATTATTAAATGAAGTAAGTTTTGAAAATATTACTTGTATATCAAATGATGATTTGTGTATATGTTCACATATAATTGATTTATTCTGTCTAGTAATTTTTTCAGGATTATTATCATCAAATAATAAATAAGTATGAGATGGTATAACAGATTTACATGAACATGGTTTAGTTACAAAATTCGGTGGACATTCACAATTAATTAAATGAATGTATTGGTTGAAGAATATAATAATAAATAAAAATAGAACTTTACTAAACATAATCTATCGATCGATGAATGTTAAAATAGTCCAAAAGAACTACTAAAAGCAAATGTCAAAATAAAATCTGAGTTAGTTGTTTGGATTTGCTGTAGAGAAAGAAAACGAATAACGCTCATGACATTACAACAACCGATATGATTAATTTAAAAACAAAGCACAACATTTTTTTTTGTTGACGTAAAACAAAATGGTTTCGTTTCGCACGGATTAATAGTGTATTATGTACTTGAACTTTATTTATTCAAAAAACGGAGACGCACAAGAGGCTAAATCTGTTCACTAGTATTTTTCTTCACTAATTCTATTGAATCATATGTCAATGGGAAAAGTATGTTGAGACCAATGTTTTGATATCATCTTTATGAGGTTTTGCATGAATTTTGAAAGCTAAAAGCTATCAACAAAGAAACGCCACATGAGTCAATTATTCGAATAATCCATCTCACAACAATGAGTTCTATTTAACAACGACTTTTATCTTTCAACAAATATTTTACTGCAAAAATTGCAATGACTCAGAGTTGTGTTATTGCTCATGTGATAGCCTTTTTAAAAAACTACAAAATCATACATTTTTCAAAATCAGAAAAAGTTTGGACATTTAACAAACGCCATAACACAACTTTGTCCAACTGCCGCTTTGTGAATTTTTTACAATTTCTTTTTCATCCGATCCATGAGGAACACTACGAATGAAGTTTTCGATGAAAAAAGAAAGTTCTAGAAATTCTTTAAATTGTACATAGATCATCTCACATCTTTATACTGATTTCGAATACCATATTAATTTTGATACAAGTTCAACTTTTGTAATTAAAGTCTTCTAAATATTGATTAAGAAGACAAAACTGCATTTGGAAAAAAAGGGTGCTGTAAAAAATTTTTAAGTAACCAGATTGTTTTGAATTTGGAATCAAATATTTTCTGAAAGAGAAAAGTTGATAATAAATACAGCAAATATACTAATAGTGTCTATCAGCACATTCAATATGTATCTTGTTAAATCAAACAATGATTTAATAATTTATATACGGAATTTATGCATTATTGAAGAGCTGTGAAATTTATGATTTCAGCAATGTTGTGCCTTGTCTAATTATTCTCAAGTAGAATTCACTGTGATAGGATGAATTATTCAGATAATGACCAATAATGCAATTCTTTGTTGATAGCTTTTAGTTTTCAAAGTTCATCCAAAACTTCATGAAACCAATAGCAAAACGTTGATCTCAACATGATCGTTTCGTTATCAACTGATTTGAAATTGTATGCGTCACGCCCCTCCTTTAAATACAGGTTGATCTTGACGATCATAACCAACAATATTGAAGTTTTCTATATCTTGTTATTTATAAAATGGTCAGAAATGCAAATATACTCTCATTATTCGTTGTATTAAATAATAATCACAGCATGAATTAGTCTTCAAAACGTATTTTTCTACAAATGATGGTCTATTTGTAACACTAGCATGGTTTATGTATAGATGACTCTACGAAAATACAATACTTATGTTTTGACATATGAGATCTATAATAATTAATACAGACAACTAGAAAGATTGTAATAGAGAATAGTAACTGTTGAGAATAATGAATATAACGAATTCATCGATTTAAGTAGAATAGACACGTAGGTTAGTCCTGGATTTCTGTTTATTATGTTCTAGTTTTTGATGACATACTTTGACTAAAGCATTAGTTTGTTGCTCAAAGTCTGTTGAAGATTAATTCTTATGGATTTATTACATAAAGTAACAAATTTCGATTGTATGATTTGTTTTTCATAGTAGATGAGTACTATTGAGGGACACAAATAATGGAATTCAAAAAAGAAAAAATCACAACTTTCATGATTTTTCTATCAAAAAAAAACGCCGAAGAACAAGTATTTCGAATGATGAAACAGATACTAAAAAAATTGACGTATTTTCAATTTCATCGATAACAATAAACATTATAATCAAGCAAATGTAATGAATATAAGTTTTAATAAAAATCATGAAATTTAATTCATGAAAGTGTTTATTTTAATCAATGAAATTAAAATACATCAATTTTAATGTCCATTTTCATTATATGAATGCCAAATTTTTTTTTGATTTTTTTAAACCCCTGGAAACACATTCATGTCATCAAACATAATAGCTTTTTAATTATTAACAAACGTTATCGTTCATCTTTAGATTGATAAATCTATTTAGTTAAGATAAAGGGTTTGTTTCTTCGACCAACCAACAAGCTCGTATTACCACTAATGCGTGTAAGCAATAATTTTGATATGTATTGCTTACAAAGATAATGTCATAATCGTCGTGACAACTCAATTAAGTTCAGAATGCGTGAACTAATTGATCTTTAACAGAGTTCTCACAATAAAGTTATATGAATTCTTTCAATGTTAAGAAAATCAAAAGAAAACAATTTTTCTCATCTTTTTAATATCAGAAACTATAATTTCATCTAAATTATCTTTTGATACATTATAATCGAAATCGAAGCCATTCTTACTCTAGTCGTCGCTAGTAAGATATAGGAAATTCAAAGTTCACATCCAATTTTTCCACGATATCTATATATGGTTAGATCGAATTCGCTGAACTAAACAAGACCACGAGGGTCTTATACTTTGCGAAAAAGTTTTACAGACAAAAATTAAAAAAAAATATTATTCTTAAAAACTGTTTAAGTTATTAAAATTCCTGTTTAAGTGGCCTTCGGGTAGTGTTAATAATATTTTACTGTTATGTTGCATGCAAAATTGAAACTAAAAACACAGTTAAACTCAGCTTTTGGATTCAACTTGTCATGCAGAATAAAAATACAATGTTATTGAATTTATCAAAAGTCTCTAACGCAAAGATTTTCAGTCATGTTTAAATTTTATGTTGTTTTTAACAATATTATTTATCTTTTTGATTTTTATTCTTAAAAGTTTCTCTCAAAGTATAAACTCACATGACTTGATTCAGCTGGATGTGTTCTATCTAATCATGTATGAATATCATAGAAAAAAAAATTTGCGCTTTAGTTTTGAATTTCTGGCATCTTATGTAAATGAAGGCACTTGCTGTCGCCTTCGCTATGCCCATGTAATTCCATTTGTTTAATTTTAATTATGTACAGAACATTAAGCAATAATGTATTAAGTAGTTTTGTTTCCATATGAATGAAAAAGTAAAAAAAGATGTTTATTGGATAAGGGCATAGGTATACGTCTAGTTCATAGCAAACGACAAACGATAAATATTTTTCAAACTCAAGGACAATGTACATTTCTCGATGAGAACACCAATATATAGAGGTGCTTGTTTTTTAGAAGTTTTCAGTTTCTTTTTTCAACTCATAAGTATTTAGTTACAATTTCTTTTTGATTAGAAAACGTGATCAGTTTTTGCTTTCAAACTATTAGTTAATTGAAGTTTTCTAATCAGAGGTAAATCAGTAAGTATTAACATGATTTGATGTTGGTATCTGTTACACTGAGTACAGTTGCTATTGTCTAATACTGTTTTTTCTTTTCTTTGAAATATACATAGTTAGTCCATTTCCTTCTTATGTACCTCATGATTGTTGCTCATAATGCAATACACATAGTATCATTATTTTTCTCATCCACTGATCAGAATAAGAACACGCTCATATTAGAGAGGTTTACCCCTAACAAAATTCGCTTGCGTAGGTTATCTACCATTCGGTTCTACAAGATGCCCCCTCACATAGAGAGGTTTTACTGTATATGAGTAAAACAAAGACAAGATAAATGTACGATGACAAATGAGGTCATCTATGACTAATATGGCCTCGAAGGTATAACAGTTTCATTTCAACAAAACACTTTTTCTCTACTGAAAAATAGGTAGGACAACGTATAATTTCACCGATCTCAAAGCGTCAAATATCATTAGTAAATAATTTTTGTTTTCTCTTGAGTTTTTTCTTTAATTGTGTTACCCAAGGACCAAGAATGATTATTCGACATATACCATTCGTTATAGTAGTAAGACAACAGATTTGACTTTCAATTCTATTAGTGCTTGCAATCATTCATTGTTTTTTAATATCACAATTACGAGACGTATACATATCGCACTGCACTCTTTGTTTTTGAATATCGCCCACATCAACTTTCTGTTTGTCTGAATAAATATTTCAAAAATCAACAACATTTTTTCCAAAACTTTTATCAATCATTCAATGCTTCCATGTACTAGAAATAAAAAGCAAAACATCGTCGAAATATATTTTCTGTAAACTTTAAAATACAAACATAAACGTATTTTTTTAATTTTATACATTAACAATATATTTTATTACAAAATTACAAAATGTTATTTCAATCTCAACTAAATCCTAAACTCACGTGCCGCACATAAATCAAAAGTCGACTTTAACGTTACTAATTAGTTCTTTTCATTTTATTTACAGTAAGAAAAATCATTAGTATGTTAACCAACTGCCTGTAAGAACTAAACGAATCAGGATTCAATTAACATTCAGTTACAATTTATTGGTTATCAAAGCGACGTTTTATAGCAACATAAATCAAGTAAAAGGATATTTGACTAGTCAAATAATATTTATTATTATTAGGACTGACCCGAGACAATTAACATTGAGAGAGAGAACGAGTGTAAAGATTTTTTTTCTAAGAGAACGCACGAAAAATCTTTAGCATCACTGAGAAAAGCAAATCTTTTTTTTTATGTCGAGTTCTCGCATCGTCTCATCCCAATCAGACTATCTATGTTCATTATGGTTTTAAGTAATAAGAGGAACTTAAGAAAAGTATGCAGATATACTATTATAACATCTTCTTGTTTTCTGTGAGTGTTAATGTGTTCCGATATTCGATAGCAACTAGTATACTTTAAAAATAACACGACTATTAAATTTTGTGAAAACATGTTATTATTCTCGATACTAAAATTAGAGTCTTTTTTCTACGCCTTTCAAATACTTGACTTCAACTATGTTTATAAATTACATATTGAGCATTGTTTTTATTACATGAAACGAACGTTCGAGAATTTCAAAACGATTAAAATGCATTAAGAAAATATTTATTTTGTATAATTTCAAATCAATCAATTAATCTTACCGTTCGATTCACTTATTTTCAACTTTGCTTTTTCTGTTAAACTTGTCAAACATTATATCGAGTACAATTACTCGTACTTATAGTCCAAAATGACTTCTCGTGACTCAAAGCACGTGTATATTTACAATATGATTTTTGTGTTCTCAGTATAATTACAAAATGTTTGAAATATACAAAAGAAAAAGAAAATCATAAATCAATGTGAAATATTGCCATTTATTGAGAAAGAAAAACATAGAATATCATATGTTATTCATCTAAATGAACATTTTGTTTTTCTTCTTGCAATTCAAGAACCGACGAATTTCTATGCAGTGTTGTTACAACTTTCTTTTGCTTTATTTACTTTAAAAATAAAGTAAATTGAATGTAAAATCAATATTTTTTTTTTCACTTACCTCTTTTTTTCGTCTATTTTCTATTATTGACAATGTTCTCAGTATCGTAAATTGGTGACAAATTATTGATTCAGACAGCATAGACCTTTTTTTAGGTGAGCATTAAATATAAAGAAAAACTTATCACCAATTCATTATGTCAATATTATCTTCTAACTTAACGAACACAGTATCGTTTATATTTCATTTATAATTTACTGATGTTTTTTAAAAGAGTGCCGGAAAATGAAGCACTTCAAATTTCCTTTCTTTATTTAAAAAGAAAAAGAAAAAAGAGGAAATTTGTTGGTTTATATACATATATACATAAATGGCAGCAGTTTGCTACTGATTTTATTGGTAAGTATAACTGTTTTTTTTACTTTTCGATTCTAGGTATAGAGTAGAGTGAAAAGAACTTTGTTTGTCGTCTGATAAATACAAAGCAGTATTTGTTATTTTTTTCTTTTATTGAAAATAAGAAAGATAATAAATTATTATGTTAATCGACGTGAAATATGAATTGCTGAGTCTATTCTCATGTTATTATCTGAAAGAAAATTAGTACTCATCGATTGATGAGTATAAATCTTTCTCTGGTGATATTCGTTTAGTAGTTTGTATCTGCTGTAGGAGAAAAAAAATAGAATAATAATAATATAGATATCAGTAATTCAATAAGAAAATAGATGTCAAGAGTCTACTAAAATATGACAATATTATGCTTTTTCTCTTTTTGCTTTATTGTCATTAGAGTCGTTTTGTTTATCGATATTCATAGTATATTACTAACTGCCTGAGACGGATTAATCAAAACTTTTTTCTTGATAGTAAATGTTGATTGTTTGCACTGAATAGCCGCGTTTTTTTTCTTTGTTTTCCTATATATACCTTCACTCATACATGCATATGTATTTATATATTTGAATTTTCTCTTAAACTCATTGACGATTTACCTATGTACTAAGTACATATATATATATATACATGTTTGAATTTTAAATAAACTCTATGACATATATATGCACTATCAAAGAATGAATCAATAATTTGTAGATATTTTTAAAGATGCAATACATATCATGTTTGTATATGCGTACAAATTAGTAGCTGTTATAATCGGACAATAATCGAGTTGACAAATGCATAGATTTTGTGAGTTGTATAAATATTTCTTTTCTTTTTGTTATTTTTTTTACTTCTACTGTCATCATAGTTATTTTTGTTATGCAGAAAAAACGAAAAAATAACAAGCGACGACGTCAATGGATTGTTTTCAATGACAGATCAATGTTTAAACGCATGATGTAGTTTCAATATAAGTCATTTAGGAAATTCATGTGTAATTATTCAAACAAAAAATAATATACTATACATTAATACGTCATCATTATCCGCACAAATCTTTTCTTTATCTTAACGTATATAATTTTACTATATCATATAGTCATTTTTCATCGATCCAGTATATATTAGTAAGAGTAAAAATATTATCACGTTAAGTAAAGAAAAAAACATATCTGATTCATTGAGATGCCTGAAAATTTTCAAAATGTGTCATGATCAAAATAACTAAATGCTTTGGAAAGAAGCTAGAGCAGCTGATCTGAATAGATTGTACATATATATACACAGTTTATGTATTTATATATATAAATATATAAATATTCATGTCTTTTTGACAGGTCTTGTAATATTTGTCAATATTATGGAATATAACATGAGTTACCTTGAAGAGTCTCTTGTCAAGGATTAAAGTTTCTAAGCCAAATATCTGTCGAGAATTTACTTATTGATATGAACAAGAATCAAATAATGAAAAGAAATAAAAAGAAACCGATATTCATCAACCTATGTTTTTCTCTTTACTTTGTTTCGTTCTTTTTTTTATTTGTCTGACAGAGTGTATCGTATGAGTGGTCTGTTATGCGACAGCACAAATGAATAATGAAGCAACAAATACAGGTAGCTTGCCTTTTCTTCTTTTTTCTTTACTTTGTTATTTTGTTAGCTTTTACGATAAATTTTTAATTAACTTAACGAGAAAGATTATGACTAATTTAGTATTGTTGATCATCTAGTTCCAAATAAAAGTAGCTTCTTGAATAGTTTGAGACATTGACATACACGTACAGTATCCATTTGGTCTTACTTTCGTACCTTGTTTCTTCTCTTCTGCGCAGTTAAATCTACTTATTTGAATGACATCAAAAGTAATTCAATACTGAGAAGTTTACATAATTGAATATTATCAAATTAATGGTTTTTTTTCCAGATGTTAGGATAAAATTGTATTATATCTATGGCAACAACTATCACTTTTAGTTTGACAAATGATGATGAAACGAAACCAATTTTTGATAGTCAGCTGGAAGATCAATACTTATTAAGTCCTCCAAAGACAGTTTTCAAACCACTTCCACCAGTTATAAAACAAACAATTGAAGCTGATCGACGACAACATCGTATACCAATATCGAAATCAACATCTGATTTTCTTACTGTTAAACAGATATCAATTGATATACCTGATGATGATTACAGTGTACATAATCAAACAACAATAAACAAAATAAGATCACATGAAAATCGTAATCATTCGATATTATCATCACGTAGAACACGATCACCATCGGAATTACGTGTTACTTTATATTCCGATGAAAATATAAATGTTCATGAAAATTTAACTCATAGTCAATTAGAAATATCAGATTCAAAATATAAAAATGGACTTGGTCGTTCCGATTTATCACTTGTTGATAGAAGAAATTTGAAACAAAATCGTATAGATATAATTCGACGTGCTTTACTTGAACGACGTTTTGCTCGTCGAATACATTCAACGTATTCATCATCAACAACATTACGTTCCTTAAGTCGACGTCGTTCAACACAAAATTTATATTTTCGTAGTCGTCGTAATTTATATCATTTACCACGTAATTCCAAATGGCATATTGTTCGTCATCGTTTACATGATATTGCTATGATGAGTGAATCATATGCACGAATGAAATTACTTGAACAAGATTTACGTTGGGCAAATTTACGTGAAAAAATTCGTATACAAGTATTAGATATGAGAGAAATGTCTTTATTACGTCAACAAGATGATGGACTTATAATAAAAAAGAAATCACATAAAACAAGATTCGATTTAAAAGATATTCCAATAGACGAAGTTGTACATATTGAACGTGATGGTCGAGTTTATTCAATAAGTACACGTGATCTTGTTCTAGGTCGATTACTTTGTGATGAAGCTATACAATTAGATACATTTGCTCAATTGGATGCTCGACGACAATTTCAAATACAACAACATTTAGTAAAACAACAAGAAGGAAGAACTCGTCTAAAAAAACATATTGCTTTTTCATTTTGTCTTTGTAACTTATCGTTCATTGTTCTTATGTTTGCTGCTATGTTGATATTTGCTACAAAAGCGATAATTGAAATGAGATGATGAAAGTTCATTTTGTTAGATGTCTTTTTTCTTTTCGTTTTTTTTATATTTATCAATTTCTCTATGTGCCTCATTATTATCTGTGATTATAGATTGAATTTTGTTTTTCCTTTTTCAATGCATATTTTTTCATAAGTGTTTAGGTACTTTCAAGTACGTACAATTACTAAAATCAAATCATATGAACTATTTTAACATAATATAGAATTACAATACAATTAATAATGCACGTCTTTATTACATTTATATGTTGAGTAAAAACGGACAAGGTCGTAAGTTGTTAAAACATCCTAACAATATGTTTTATTGTGTATCAAAAAAAACGAAAAAAGAAAAGAATATCACTAAATAAATCTCGTTGAATTTTTATATATGTCAGATATATTTGAAAAGAAAAGTGTAAATTAATAAATGTATAATCGGGCTTAAGAGTACTCTTTTAATCTGGATTTTATATTAAAATCATGAAATAACATTTTCTTTCATATGAATTCGTTTTTTCAATGTTCTTGAAAAATCATAAGTAAAATGACAATATAATTATATTAAAAAGTTCTGGTTTCAATTAAGTATGCCATTATTGTATTGTTTTCTTCATTTGTCCTTCCCAATTGTATATTATCAAGAACTCACACAATGTATAGCACATGCTCTTTTCCTTTTTTTTATTTATTGGTCTACTAACACCATGGATCCCTAAATCGCACAACAACAAGAACAATCGTTTTTTTTTTGTTCTCTCTCACCCTTCTTCTTACTGTTATATTGATTCCGCAGTTTGCCGCTTTTTTTGTTCTCTCTTTTTTTTCTCACCATCACCACTATCGACATCACATCAGTACATAGAATAAGTCATTGATTTCTTTGCCATTCTATACCCTGTTTCTTCCTTTTCATTTTTATCGAAGCAAGTCATTTATATACGAATAGTGAAAAGCACCTGTCAGCGTTTTTGACAATCGATCGGCATCAACTGATATATTTAGAGTATCAATGGTCTGACTTAGTCCGTCCTTTATTGTATGCACATGCGTATAAATTGTATTGATTCAGAGGACAACGGCAAAAAAAACGAAAAATTTGATGTTAACGACGACTCATAATCGTAATCAATATTGTTGCACTTTATCTTTCGCTTCTTTTTATCTACTAACCGAGCTCGTGTGTACGCATACCTGAAGCATGGTAAGTTATTAAAATGTAGAAAAAAAAAGCGTTTGCTTGTTAATTGACTTTAACTATTGGATATTTTTCATGTTTCTTTTTATATCTGTAGCGTCTACGTGATTTATTTCGTGGACCATCAAGTGCTGAACGAAAGCCAACAATTTCTTCATCAATTTCATCACTCGTACCATTAGTTGATGTAAATGCCTTTGTCAATGCCGCTCAAGATAAGGATACAGACACATTACACAAGTATTTGCTTGCAGGTTGGTAATACACAATAAATAACATTATGTTTAATCTAAACATAATAAATAGTTAAAGAGCAATGAGATCATATTTCAGGTTTCTCACCAGATCAACCAGATCCTTCAACAAAGGCAACAGCATTGCATGTAGCTGTTGAATCAGCTAATATACGTGCTATTCAAATGTTACTTCAAGCCGGTGCACAAGTTAATGTAACTGATGCAAGTTTTTCAACACCACTTCATATTGCTGCTTATATGGGTAATGAAGAAGTGAGGTTAATTAATCCATAAAGAAAGAACAGAATATTAGTATAATTATAGTTAGATAAATAGATTGTACAGATATTATTGTCACATGGTGCTGATATGTATAAACAAGATAATACGGGACGAAATTCTTTTCATCTAGCTGTATCTACTGGAAATAATCGATTAATTCAAAATTTTATTTTAACAACTGATACGGGACAAAATATTATTCATACACCTGATGGGTAATATTTTATGAAAACATAAATCAATTAAGAAATTATCTTGTTTTTTTTTCCTGTAGTCAAAATTGGACACCATTAATGTGTGCTTGTGCTAGTAATCATCCAGCGACTTGTGCACTTCTTTTATCCCATAATGCTGATCTATGTGCAGTCAATGATCGTGGTATGACAGCATTTCATGTAGCTGCTTTTCTTGGTTCACTACCGGTTCTTCAAGAACTTTTAACTTCATCATCTAATGATGAAATAATTGTTAAAGCAATAAATCAAGGTGATAATAGAAATCAAACACCATTATTTTATGCTTGTATTGAAGGTCATCTTGAGATAGCATTAACTTTACTTCGTGCTGGTGCCAATGCCTATCATTTGGATAACGATGATCAAACATGTTTACATGCTATGCTTTCATCAAGTATTATTTTAAAACGACATATACGTTTATTTTATTATTTTATACAATTTGTTGATTATCGTTTAAATCAAGATTTTCTTGGACGAACATTACTTGATCTTGCTTATTCAAATCAATTAAATACAATTATTCATCTATTAATATTACTTAATTATAAAACAAATTCTAATATTAATTATAACAATAAACAAATACTTTCACTTCGTCATATATGTATACTTTATTTTAAACGTTCAATTATTTATCATCGCTATCAACAACAAGCAACCCAACATGATTTACTTGAACATGCTTTACACCAAACATTTCAAATAGTATTACATAAAGATTTAACAAATATAAAAGAAAATAAACCAATAGAATATTTCATAGGTAAATCATTAGATGATATTACACTTTTACAACAACAACAACAACAACAATCTAATAAACATCAAAAACATGGTAAAACAACAAAAAATCTAGATAAAAAAATGAGGAAAACGTCAAGTATTTTTTCAACAACATCAACAACTAATAAATGGTCATCACAAACTGATTTACAACATACACATTCAACTTGGTCGGCATTTACTAATAAAATAAAAGGTCAACGATTATCTCATATAATAACAAATCCACAGCATATGCCTATAGATGAAGAAACAAATTCATTACACTTATCATCAATAAATCCAATGAAAAATTTAGCTTTCGAAATCTTAACAACACCAAGTAAACTTGATAATTTACTTGATTTTCCTTCATTAAAAAATGATTATTTACTTAATGAAGATTTGAAAATGTCAATGAGTAAATATAATTTATTAGGAACTGATTTAGTAAATCAAACATAATTTTTTCTTTTTTTTATATTCATTTTATTTGTAAAATAATTCTGTCTTTCTTTGATTAATAATAAAAGAAAACAAAAAAAAAACGATAACATAAAGAAAGTTTATCAAAGCTAATAAATCGATTAAATGTACCAATTAATTGGAAGAAAGAATTGCATGTTGAGAATAACAATAATACAAAGAAGATTAGTGCATGTCAAGCGGAAAACTGAATGATCATATGCTAATAAAGATATTAGATATCAAGCGTTTTATTAGCTCAAAGTCAAATGTTATATCACTGAGTATTTTAAACGAATGGTCAATTTATCTCAACTATCAAAAAAACAAAGATCGAAAAAAGAAATTGGATTTTCAAGTCTTTAATGAACTTACTACTGTTATGTTGTCTACAGGGGTTTCCCACAAAATCCAGTCAATCTTAGCAAATATCTTCCAATCAACCTCTGGAATCATCACTCTCTCGAATTTTTCTAACCTCGGATCACCTGCGACTACCTTGTAATTTACATGCATTTATAAATACTAATTATTCAGTTGGTCTGTTCACTGGTAACGAACTTTTTAATACCATCGATTATTAAACGTTAAGGCTTCCTCAAAAACCGATATCGGACTAGGTGTACTCAAATCGAATGAGATTTTCTGCTCTATATCATAATGTTTTCGGGAGATATTCAACGAACAACAATGTAAAATAGCTCATTTGACAACTCGATGCCTTCTCTCAACTTTCATTCTATCGATTTAATATTCTTTTTATTAAGAAGAACATATCAGATTGCAGTGTTCTGTTTTAAAAGTCTCACTTTTTATGCAGAGAAAAAGCATGACAAGTTATAGAAAAAATTTTTCATATAATAATAACAAAGCTTAATTCAAAAACAGATTATTGTAGCTTCATATTCTTCTTTCAAAAAAAAACATAAGCAATCGATTAAAGTGAAGCTGCTTTGAGAATTCTTTGATGTAAGATCAGAAAAGCATATTGTTTCAAGCAGAAAATGAAGGAAATCATGTAAAATTTTTGAAAATAAAATCAAGATGCCACATAACAAAAATCATATCGTTTATGAAAGACCAAACCTTGGGCTAGTTTTTCACGTGTTTATCTCGACATTGATTTTTCTGATGAAAATTGACTTATTCGAAGGAAAGCTTAACATACAAAATGTATATTAATGATCTACAAATGGCTATTATAAATCAATATTTATCCATATTTGCTACATTAATAGAAAATAGTAATGTGTACGGTCAAGTTGATTTGTGATCGACTTTTAAAGGGAAAAAAAAACATTTGGAAAATATTTTATCAAAAAAATAAAAAGCTAATCACATTAATATGACGATGATTACTTTAAGTGTAAAACTTAGAGGAAGATATGAAGATGTTAATCACAAACTTGTTTTTCTTTCATTTTATTTGATGATAGACATCCAACAAAAAGAAAAACAAATCATAATCTATCATTTGATTTCTCATAAAATAGAACTCCGTCATCTCATATGAAATGAACTTCTTACGAAGAAATTTATAAAGACAATCCAAATATTTGGCATTCAAAAATTGAGACAACACAAGTGTGTCATAGAAATAAATGGGTAGAGCTGTTAGACCTCTGATGTTAAGATATGGAATTTTGAGTAAATGCTCTCTGCTGAATCCTAGTTTTCAAGTGAAATCATACTTTTGAAATTTGCTCTGATCCTTTGCTCATATAAAAGTTCCAATAAGACAAGTTTGTAGAAAAAATTTCACAGTTCTATGACAAAGTCTCTACGAGATATGAATCACGTGAGCAACGTTTCAGGTCAAAACTCAAAAGTATGATTTCGCTTGAAAATCGGGACCCTGCAAGAAAAATCGACTAAAAATCCTATATCTCAGTAACAAAGATTCAACAGTTCGAATCACTTTGGAATATTTATCTATTGAGTATGCTCTATCGATTGAAGAGTCCCAGCTTAAAAGCGATTTATCACCTGGAGACTTTCCATCGTCAGTACACATTTAGGCAATAATCTCATTCAAGCATTTGTGTACTTCTTTTTGTTAAATTTTATGAATATCTAAAAGAATGCATGTTTTCAAGTTTTATTATGAGTGCATTTCTAAGGTAACGCTTATTAATGTGTTCTCTAAGGATTAAATTACAATATCATATAGCATGACTTAAAAAGATTTTATTATATATGATGAATAAATTGCAGAAGATTTCTAATTAAATATATATGACCACTCTCAAAGACAGGAAAACTATTGAAATAGGATTATTAATAAGTATCTCATCAAAATAAATATTCATTTTTTTTTAGATTTAATGGACAGCTTGCACAACTTCGAAAGGAATTTCAACCATACGATGATTAGCCACATATGAACATAGAACAAAAATGAGTTAGCGAAATTCATGTAAGTGATTTTGATTTTGTTTCATTCTTCTATCAGCTGTTTTGTTTTTCTCTCTATCAAATGAAATAATAAATGCTATAGCAACTGTTTTCTAGTATAATCACGCACAAAAAAATGTGCAATATTCTATATTTATGGGTCTTGTACTCTTATACGTAATCTATTCAAACTCGTTTTTGATGGTAATTTTCTTTCGATTTAATGGTTATTCTAATAATCATTAATCTTTTTTGTATATGCCAATATAATTGTATCAATAGAAACAATATGCTATGATGAAATAGAAATATTTATTGTGTTTACTTAGTGTTTCATTGTCCAATAATTTAGTTATGTTTGTATTTATCATACAAGATAAATAATCAAATCAACTTCTACATTTTTGTGTATTTAGACAAAGAGTTAGCATAAATATCTCTATTATTATTCAAATATGTCTTGATTTGAAAACACGAACTATTTTATTGATTAATATTGCTTATAAATGAAAATGTGTATTTTAGAAATTCTTTATTTAAGAAGAGTCCTAAGAAAATCAATATTTCATATTAGACAAATACATACAACGTTTTGACTTTGTGTAATATTAGATATCAAATTAAGATCTATTCGCGACGGAGCAGAATAATTTACTAATAAGTTATTCTAATTTACTATGTCATGAATCCTTTTTGTAGATCTTACTTTATTGAAGCAGAAAAACGTAGAGTAGAATTCGAAACAATGTTCTAGTTATTTCTTTCTGAAACTATTAAATAGTGTCAAACTTGAACATTGAATTCAATTATTACAGTATTGTTCAAGTATTCAAACACTCAACTGTGTTTGTGCTATGTGTTAAGATTTCGTAACACACTCAGTGAGAACAGTATAATGTGTGTGTATGCTTTCGTGAAATACTTGAAATTCAACAATTCAAGTGTCAACTATTCAATAATGGAATTTAACATTCAAGTTTGACATGCGTAAAACATTTGTGTCAAATAGATATTGACATATCAATTACTATTTACGGTCAGATCACGATTCAATAGTGTAGATAAGATTAGTTAAGATATCAAAAAGAAACTATTTACAATTTCTTTTTGTTTGTTTTAAGATTATAATGATCAAGCTTATGAAATATTCACTGACAACGGAAGTTCTCTAATTGATTAATCAATTTCCAGTCGAGACAACGTACATCATATAGACCCTAATGATTATAAATATTCTGGAAGCTGTCTTTTTATTCGCTCCTATCCTGAAATAAGAAAATCGGATCTATCAGTAAATATGAACGACATCCAAGACATGCTGTTACTGTAGCTGTATTTTAGAATATGATCAACGAAACAATCTGGAACATTTTCTATGAACAAGTCTTACTCAGATCTGTCTCTGAACTAAGTTTCAAGTCAAAATCTAAAAATCGTTTTTCTTGGTGTTATTGCGAGGATTACAGCATTCATTAAAGACTACTCTGAAAGGGAAGCATCTTAGCAACAATAAACTAACAGCATGAGCTCTTTTTTTCAGAATATTCATAACTCACTAGAACCTATGTTATGTGTGAAGTTCTGTGTCAAAAATGATTAATCAGTAGGAGACTTCCCTCATATGCACAAGTTTTGTATAGTTTTGAGAAATCATCAATACTTGAATAGATCACTAACAAAGAAAAAGTTTACATGATGCCTTCGATGTAACCGTTTATTAATAATGAATATTTCCAATCAAATTGTGAATAACTATTAATCTTTTTGCTGTTTGAAACTTTGAGAATGATTTAGATAAGTAGCAACTCGATTGATAAAAGCTTTAGTTTGAATTGTATGAAATCAAGTGAGAAATTATTGTTGTAGTCTTAAACATTTTGGTAGAACAAATAAATTATAATCACATCTTTTATGAAAATGTGTTACTTCTTACGGGTCAGTTTTTGTTCATTTTAAACTATAACTATCAGTAACTATTCTTATTTCTAGTATCCCATTTGATCAGTTTATTTTATTTTATTTTATTTTTTTGATAAAAAGCCATGTTGATCTAAACATTTTTTTAAACTACAAAGCATCTCAAAAGTCATCCACAAAACAAATTGAATATTTCCGTCACACATTAATCAAACTAGCTAATGCTATTTCGAAGTATTTTTCAATATCGATACTAGATTTTGAAAATTTGACATTGTGGCCAAAGATCCTGAAACTTTCTATACACACTAATCTCAGAGAGAGATTTTTGAAGGTGAAGTTTCATGTTAGAATTTGATAATAAAATTTTATTGAAAGTATCAAGTTATATTCAAGGGAGCACCCACAGTCAGGCGTCAACTGGGTTCCGAATTTCAATAGATTTTTTTGAATTTTAATAGGACTTCTTGTGTTTTACTCTTTCAGACTATTCGGTAAATTTCAAATAATTTTCACTAAAATTCAGTGCATCTTATTTTTATGCGCCATGAATATTGCGGAAGTGAATTCAATAAAAATTGTGACTCAGTTAGCATGTAATAAGGACACGAACTTTTCAACAATGGTTCTAATAATGAAAAAAATATGGACATGAAAGTCTGTAATCATTTATAACATCATCTAATAAA